TGTTTGAAAAATGTTATTCTAAACATGGGATATTTAAAAAGGTAAGTATTAAAAAGGTAAGTATAAAAGGTAAGTATATTAAATTCCAAAAAAATTTTGTATAAAATCGATATTTTATTAAAGGACAATTCTTAAAAATGACAATTCTTAAATTTCTAAAATTATCAAAATTCTTGAGCGAAAAAAATTTGTCGATTTTGTATTAGGAGAACATAAATTGATAGGAAGTCTCTCGAGAAATTTTTCCAAGAATTTTGGCAGTTTTTGGAAGTCAAATTCTTGGAATTTCTAAAATTCTTGGAAATGACGTCAAATTCTTGGAATTATCGAAATTCTTGAACGAAAAAAATTTTTGTCCAAAAATTCGATTTTGTATTAGGAGAACATGATACGATAGGAGGTCGATCGAAAAATTTTTCCAAGAAATGACGTCAAATTCTCGGAATCTTTAAAATTCTTAGAAATGACGTCAAATTCTGAGAATTTCTAAATTTCTTGGAACTGAGTCAAATTCTCGGAAATTTCCAAGTTCTCGAATAATAGATCGAAACTTTTAGCCACAAAATCGATCTTTTATTAGGAGAACATAATTTAAAAGGAGTTTTCTCACATTTATCACATATCTATCGTTCTCCTACTTAATTCTTTATCATTTATTTTTTCTACCATTGTCGTTTCCTTAGAGCTTTGAAACGTTTTTTTTTACGATTTACATAATTTTAAATATTTTCTGCTCCCATACTTATCTTCTATCACAAATGCTGCCACTTTCAGTTCGTTTTTATCATTTTTTTAATCTTTAAAGAATTCAAACATTATATTCGTATTATTTGCAATATCTCGATTGTTTTTAATAAGCCATTACATAATATATTATTTTGGGTGTCAAAATAGCATTATTCGATGTATCTCTTTTGTTTTTTGAGATATTAAAAAATGTTTCGAATAAAAGTTACATGGTTTCGATGGAGGAACATCCTGCTGTAATTTATTTTTTTATACATAGAAGCGTTGAGGATTTGTAAAGGTAAATGTTGTTTCTTTAAATGGGACTATACATTTTTTAATACATAAATTGATATCTCTTGGCATTCTCTATAAAAAAGTACTGAACCTTATATAGCAAAAAACTTATAGGTTAAAAAATAAACAAATTTAATTAAATATCTTTCAAACTAATGGTTTTTTGCCATATATGGATCAGTACTTTTTTATAGAAAATGCCACGATACATCGACTGGTGTTTTGAAAAGTATACAATCGTATTTAAAAAAATTAAGTTGAGTTCGAAAAGTTTTTTATTGGTCCACCTACGAAAAAAACGAGAGTACCAGAATATAGTCCTTTTGAAACCATTCAACTTTTATTCGAAACATTTTTCCGTATTGTGAATAATAAACGAGATATTTAACAAAAAGGATAAGTATCGAAATTCCTCGATCGATGAAAAATTTTTGTCCAAAAATTCGATTTTGTATTAGGAGAACATGATACGATAGGAGGTCGATCGAAAAATTTTTCCAAGAAATGACGTCAAATTCTCGGAATCTTTAAAATTCTTAGAAATGACGTCAAATTCTGAGAATTTCTAAATTTCTTGGAACTGACGTCAAATTCTCGGAAATTTCCAAGTTCTCGAATAATAGATCGAAACTTTTAGCCACAAAATCGATCTTAGGAGAACATAATTTAAAAGTTTTCTCACATTTATCATATACTTACCGTTCTCATATTTACTTTTTTTTATCATTTCTCTTAATATTGCCATTTTAGAGCTTTAAAACATTTTTTTTCACAATTTATATGTGATATTTATTATTTTTAAAATTTAGATATTTATTTCTTGCACGCTTCTGTTCTGCAATTCTTAATGCATTTTTTATCATTTTTTTAAATTTTTTAAGAATTCACGAATACATTGAGCATTATTTATTTTCATTATTTGAAATGTTTGAAATGTCGATTGTTTTTAATGAATGATTGCATAATATAATATTATCAAATGTTTGAATAGTATAATTTGACATGTCACGCTTGTTTTTAAAAATATTAAAAAATGTTTCAAATAAAAGTTAAATGGTTTCGAGGGGCATACATCCTTTTGCTATTTATTTTTTTATATATAGAAGCGTAAAAGATTTACAAAAGTGAATGTTGTTTTTTTAAATAAAAGTATACACTTTTTAATACTCCTATTGATATATCTTGGCATTCTCTATAAAAAAGTACTAAGGCATAAAGTAGCAAAAAATTTATAGAAAATAATTAAATTTAATTAAATATTTTTTAAACTAATGGTTTTTTACTATATATGGCTTAATGATTTTTTATAGAGAATACCATGGTACATCGACTGATGCATTAAAAATTATATGATTCTATTTAAAAAAATGAAATTGAGCTTGAGTAGTTTTTTATAAATACACCTACGAAAAAACTGAGGGCACCAGAATATAGCTCTTTCGAAACCATTCAATTTTTATTCCAAGCATTTTTTAATATTATTGATAATAAACGAGATATTTAAGAAAAAAGATTAAGATCGAAATTTCCTGAGCGATAGTAAAATTATTGTCCAAAAGTCGATTTTGTATTAGGAGAACATAAATTGATAGGAGATCGTTCGAGAAATTTTTCCAGGAATTTCGACAATTCTTGGAACTGACGTCAAATTCTTGGAATTTTCGAAATTCTTGGAAATGACGTCAAATTCCTGGAATTATCGAAATTCTTGAACGAAAAAAATTTTTCGCCAATTTGTCGATTTTGTATTAGGAGAACATGATACGATAGGAGGTCGATCGAAAAATTTTTCTAGGAATTTCGACAGTTCTTGGAAGTGACGTTAAATTCTTGGAATTTTCAAAATTCTTGGAAATGAAATCATCAAATTCCTGAAATTATCGAAATTCTTGAACGAAAAAAATTTTTGGCCAATTTGTTTTAATGTTTTATATTTTTTTTATACTTATTTTTGCACATTCTTAATTTTTTGAAATGTCATATTTTCAAAAATTGAAGAAAGAAGAAAAGATATAAAATTATATCTTCTTACAATATATAAAAAAATATAATAGATGTATATATAAAACATATATAAGAATATATATATATATATTATACATATATGTATACATAAAATATATGTATATAAGGGCAGATATATATATTTTTGACATCTTATATATAAAAATTAATAAAATAGATATATATAAAGAATAGATTGAATGGACTTTGATAAACTTTTAAATCGATATGATAAAAAAAATAATAAAAAAATAATTAGCCTCAGCACATACATTTTGTAGACTAAAAATATAAAGAAAGGAAGAAAATAATAAAAAGATAAAAATAAAGTAAAAATTAATACCATCTCTATAGTGTCTTAGATAAAATAAATGCAGACAAGGAAAGAAAATAATAGAAAAAAAAGAATAAAAATAGGATAAGAATTAATTATTATCGCCATCTTGTGAGTGATATCAAAGATAAAGTAGTATAAAAAACTGACAATCAGCGCCATCTCTTGAATATTAAAAATATTTCTTTAAAAGTAAATTAAGAATCAAAGATTAGCATTAAGAGATGGCATTAATGGTTAATTCTTATTCTATCTATTCTTTTTCTATTATTTGTTTTCTTTGTATTTGTTTTATCTAAGATACTCTAGAGATGGCACTAATTGCACAATTTTTATTTTATTTTTGTTTTTCTTTCATTATTTGCTTTTTTTGTTTATATTTATTTTTGATATGAACATAGACGAGATACAAAATGTTAATTGAACACATTTTATCATTTTTTTAAGAAGTGTAAAAAAGAAGTAAAAAAAATATAAATATTACATTCTTAACTTTATAATGTATTTTTAAGAAGATGCAAAATACATATATGATATACAATTTAAAACATTGTTCAGCGATAATGCCGAATATTAATAGTTTAAATAAATAAATTTAAAGCAATACAGTTTATAAATAAAAAGAAAACATATTAGGAATTTTTATTCATTATTTATATGAAATGTAATAAAGATACATAAGATGAGATATATAATATTTTCCATGATGTCAATATATATATATTGTATATAGTATTAATTCATTTGATAAAATAAACACAAAGAAATAATAAAGATATCTTTAAAATATACTTTCACTTATTTATTTTGTTAATGACACTTGAAATATTTAAAGCAAAAAATCTAATCATACACATATGATTATTATTTACAATTCTGACTAACATCAGATGGCAGCACCTTGTTAAAAACAGTAATTGTTTTTACGATAGTAGTTAAATTCACGATTAAAAATCTTTTTAAGATAATCCCAATATTAGTGACGAATATAATAATATAGTGATTCTTGAACAGAATTTCATTGCTTTATGTGCAAATTGTGTTAAAAACTTAAAAAATTCAATGACAATATAATATATTGAAAAATTTCAAAATAAGTTTTTTAAAAATTTATACATTTTAAAAGATTTTCGTTTAAAAAAGCCCATTTTAAAAATACATTTCCATTAGACGATTTATTATAACAGTGATAAATTGTTTTAACGGAAATTGGGATTAAAAATGTTGATAAGAATTTGTGAGGTTATGTTTTTGTTGAATCGTAAATTCATCAATTTCTCGTAAAAAACACATGGAAAAATAGCACGATTTTCGCGCATGTCATTTAAATAACGCGGGATTAATATCTGAAAACAATTTTTGATATTTGTTCTTTTTATCCCGTTTAATCGGCGGAAAATTGTAAGTATATTGATTAATTATTTTATGCTTTAATTAATATATTGGAAAGATTCGTTACGTAACAATTGAAGTTTTTAATCAAATGGTGATAAAGAATGGTACATTCAAGAAACATTAATTTTATATTATCTTTATTATTAGATATAACAAATATACGAAGTATATTTAAAAATTCGAATAAGAACTTCAATTATGAAATATATTGATCAAAATGTCAATATACATTTTATCAAATCTTTTACGCATTACGTAACGTATTAGCGCTAATTGCACGTTTTTTCTTTCCTGTTATGGCAGTCGATTTTATTTTTTTTGATTGTTTCTTTTTTTTACATTTTTTCTTTAAAATTTCTTGTGTATGAGAATTAGCAGAATCATCTGATGAAAAACTGTCGCATAAAGGGACAATTAAAGGTTGTAACTGTATATGGGATCGTGAATGTGTTTGCAAATGCATTTCGGATTTTGTAATGCTCGATATTTTTTCCCCATTAGAAATAGAGCCATTTTTGTGATGTTTTCTTTTGTATTCGTTTTTAAGTTGTCGCGTTTGTACTTTAGAAGGCATTTCGAGCGTAACTAGTTTTAAAGAATCTGCTTTAATAGTTAAAAAAGATGTTTTACCACGACGCATTTCTTCCATTCTAGAATTGGTCATTTTTTGCCATTTAAGAGGAACTTTCTTTTTCTTTGGTTTCTGTTCAATATTCTCGAGTTGATTTTCTAATCGCAAATTAGTATCATTTGAATATATCGATTTTTTATGTTTATATTTATTTTGTATTTCTTTTGTATTACTTTTCATAGTAAAATATTCAAAAAATTGCAATTTTTTCATATCTCTTCTAAAATAAAAATAAAACAAAATATTGAATATTTAAATTTACTATTTAAATATTTATCAATAATATTTAAGAAAATTTAGCATACTTTAACAATGCCTCACTATCTGTTTTATCTTGCCTTAACGCCATATTGGATATTCCCCAACTTAATGGTTCCCGTACAAAAGGATGCGCAATATTCTTCTCGATATTTTCCGTAACTCCCATCCATATTTGTTGTCGCAGTGAACTAAGTTTAATTTGTATGTCCTGACTTCTTAACGCAACAGGGGAATGGTGTCTCAATGTTCTATATAAATTTAAACATATAATTATTATATTAAACATATAATTATTATTATTTATAAATTTTAATATTTTTTTTTCTCAAAACATTTTTCTATAATATTTCACCTGACCAAGCGAAGACAATGTGATTCTCTGTTCGCTTTTGCTTTCTCCTTAATAACACTGAAATTTTCGTCCAATGATATGCTACGAGATCTCGCTATTTCCGGCAATACTAAACTATCATTGGTGACATCATTTGTTTCTTTCTGCGTAAATTGAATAGCATCTTCTTTAGAATATCCGAGAATTTTTGCTGAAGAATCTGATAAAGATAAATTTTATTCTTATATTTTTTACTTTACTTTACCTTACATCTAATTATAATGATATGACTTTACGTTCTTGTTTCGTTGTTTCTTCATCCGCTGAATCATTATACTCGCAAAAATCGCTACCAGGATCTGTAGTTGGCAAATCCATCACTGTCCTTCTCGTCTAAATATCAATCCATAATGTATAACAAATACATATTAATATGTAACATAATATATGACACATGATACATGACCCATATATTAAGTTACATTTTGTACATGAAGAAATAGAAAGTAATTAAAAATATTTATAATATGTAATATTTATAATATGAAATTATAATATGTATAATAAATATATATTAATATGTAACATGATACATAACCCATATATTAAGTTACATTTTGTACATGAAGAAATAGAAAGAAATTAAAAATATTTATAATATGAAATTATAATATGTATAATAAATACATATTAATATGTAACATGATACATAACCCATATATTAAGTTACATTTTGTACATGAAGAAATAGAAAGAAATTAAGAATATTTCAAATTTTACCAGCATCTTTCTTCGTCGAAGATAGCTTTTGTTAGTGGCCAGTAGTCCTTTTTTACTCCTTCTTTTAGTCAATTCTAAGCTTCGAAGGGGAATGAATGTTGGTGTAGGGGGTGGTGCATATAGATATTGCGGTGAAACAATTGGTTGCCTCACAGTATAGGTCCATGTGCCCTCCGAGAATCCTATTTCTTCTTCTTCTGAGATTGAATTATCTGATGTGTTTCCTTCATCGCTAACAAATAATAAATATGCATGTCTCTGGTATGAGGGAGTGATATGATGTTTTAACGTTGAAATGATGACTACCTGGAGTAGTCAGTTAAATCGATGTTAGTTGGTTCTTCGGCACTCGAGCCACCCTTCATTAATCTGATAATTATTTTGTTCCGAAGCCTTTCCTTTGCATGTTCCAATAAATAAATTATCACGATTAATATGTAGATTCAGTCAAAATGGAAGGGCGCGTGTTCACGAAGAATATATCATAATTTACCTTGACAGGATCTGGATCGAAAAAATCCAACAAAGTCTCGCAAAACACTTTTCCAATTTGCTCGTAATCTTGAGTAGAAAAATGGGTCCCAGATCTAGAACCTATTCTTGTTCCTCCCATCGATGCTTCCATCGTGTAACTGTTCTGCACCCCCATAGACCAAACTACAACCCTTCCTGTACCCTCTTTACCCTTCTCCATGTGAAATTTGCAATTTTCGAATGAGAACTAAAAAATTAAATCTTGTTCGAGATTTAAGGAAGAAAGAGAAATATAGTGCCTGATTAACTATTGCACTTTTAATTAATCCATTTCTTCTGAAAAATTGAAATTTCTGAGACACACACACACACACACATATATTGTTATTCCAGAAATTGTCAGATGAGGATGATTTTTGAGATAATTTCAAACCCGATATTTTTCATTAATAATTCGTTAATAAAGTCGAAATTTGCTTGAAATTATCTCTTGAAGAATCAACCTATTGTCGGTTTATTTTTAGGATATTTTATAAAAACATGTACATATACATCGTAAAAAAAAATAAAATACGAACAAGAAATGTTTCTTTTTCTCGATTTCTAAAGTGACAAAAAATTCATAACATGTTTCGATTACGATCCTGCGTAATTAATTAAGCAATATTGTATTTGTTATTAATCTTATTACTATTTTACAGTGTAAAAAATATGTGAAAATAAATCTACGATTTAAATCACTCACTTTATCAGCTGCATTCTTGTGCAGCATTAGAGGGAACACTTGCTCAGAAAGTCTAATATGCGAAGCGGTTTTTTTGCTCTCACAACCATAAATGAATATATTGTGCTTCCTAGAGTGAGCGTGGAGATCACAATAAATTGCCACTCCGCATTCTTCCAATAATCGGCGAATCATTAATTTAGTGTGCCATATGGAGGGATAGCTTTCTCTCATCACGGTTCTGTATTGTCTGTTTAAATCTTTCCCCGATAACGAGCAACGATTGTTGCCTACGATAACGCCATCTGGATTCAGCATAGGAACTAATTTGAACACAAATCTTTCACGAAGTACCTACGTTTGTTAAAAATCTTTCTCAATACATTTATTGAGATTGCATTTTAATTTATATAACAATACAAACAACATTTAGATATATGCACATTTTATGGATAATGATATTTGAAAAGAAGCAGTGAAATTAAGATTAAAATTGAAATTAAGATTGTGATATTATCTGTTGAGAAATACATACTCTGGCTTGATTCGATTCTCCAGTTAAAAAATCAATAATTCCTTTCATTGTCCAGCTAGATGGTGTTTCACCAGGATGAACTCTTGCCGTGATAACGATACCTCTTTTTCTTTGTACTTCCTCGTATGTAGGGGCAGTAATGGTTAAATAATAAACTCCATTTCCTGCCAGTGTACGGCATAATAATCTCAATTTGGTATATCTAGATTTTATGGGATCGGCGACTAGTTTGCTGAGATATTCCTAAAAATTTTCCAATGATTTTTCTTCAATATATTTAAGATAAGGAAAAAAATTTCCTTTACCATTCATAATTTTTATACAATAGTTGAAATAATAAGTACAAATGACCTTTTCTTTAATAATATTTAAACTATTTAATCATATTTGAATTTAAATCAATAAATTTTTTGAGATGCTGTAAATCGCTTAGAAATTATTATTTTTATCAATTTTGTAAATTCTTATTCACGGATTTATTTAATTTTTGTTTTCAGCAAATAATGTAAAATGTAAAAATAATTTTGGATGAAGAAATTTAGAATAGATTAAAGAAAACTATTAATTTATAACTATTCTTAATTTGTTCATTTTAAATATCAATAAATTTGTAATATAAGAATAAAGAAATTGATAAAAATAAGAATTAAAAGCATAAAGAATATACTGCAACATCTTAATAACTTAACTTTCAGAAATTGTATATTAAATAAAAAAAAAATTAGAGACAATTATCTATTACATATTTGATGAATATTGTTATTTATTATCACATGCTGCCTTTAACAATAAGTTTCAATGAATTAATTCAATCAATTTAATAAGAAAAAATAAAAAATACAAACATACTTTATTATTATATTACCTGTAAGTCGGTATAAGTATATGGATAACAATGTGCCAAATAGACAGTGTCTCTGTCGTGAGGAAAAGAAATGTTAAACGTCAATGTATGCTTTTCTTTTTCCTCGTCACTTCTGAAAAACAAAATACTTGTAATAAAAAATTAGGAATATTTGAAATCTGAATATTTCGAAACCTTTTCAAATTCAATATTAAAAAACAATATTAAATTTATACTTAATATTTTTTGTATTAAAAAAATTATTATTATTATTATTATTGTCAAAACGTCTGAGTAGATAATAACACGTACGACGAATCATTTCTGTAATAAGCAATATTTTCTCCGCATCTTCTCCAACCGACAGCTCGTTTCTTGGCGTCTTCGATTGAATACAAAAGTGGTCGAAGACCTTCGTTATAGAGGCTTTCATCTTTGCTAAGATTCACAATAGACAATCTGAAATTGTTTCAAGTTTTTTCAACTTATAATTCGTATTAATATATTAATCCTCTTAATAGAAAATTTAACTTAAAATTAAAAGTTCACCTATAATTCGTTCTACTTCTTGTATTCGATATTCTAAAGTAATACCATTGCGTGTGTCTTTGAGTATAAAGATCTTTTCTAAGATAGAGTTGATAATACGTGTCCGTGATCTTAACTACTTTACAAAGATTTCCAGATTCGAAACGGGATTCAAAATGTAAATCGGTGTTAGTATCCGTTACATTAGTCACTTTGGTTAATAGGAACACATTGTCGCTAGTGTCAACATCCTTTGACCCGTTTTCATCCAAATCTGTTGGAAATTCCGTTGGAACTGTGTTCCCGCCTACGCAAGATCTACTAAACTGTTGATCGTTAAATATATATATTATTAATCTTTTGAAAACCTTACTGATTTAAAACTGGATAAAATTTGAAATAATTTAAAACAAATAATCCTCCATTGCAGAATCGAGATTAAGATATGACCATTTATCCAGAAAGATAAGAAGAATTATGGAGAATAATTTATTTGCAAAATCTTATATAATTAAGAAAATATTATTTCTATTTCAAAAATCTATTTCCCCTCTGTTAATATAAACATATATTTTACTATCACATGAAGTATCATCGACTTACATAACTAGTGACACCAGTTGGGTGATATCGAAATATGACAGTTCCAAGCTCATCTCCTAATGGCTTTGGTTTCGGTTCCTTTCCGGTTGGCACGTAGAATGGTTCTGGAACGAGGGGAGCGTATTCAATGTGTCGTACTCTTTCTGGAAGTACCTAAAATATTAATTACTCAATTATATTGTTCGAATAATGATTTAAACTATTAAAAAAATTAAAAATAAAATTTTATTAATATTGATACAAAATTAATATTAATTTTTCTTTTTAAGTTTCTTATTAATAATTATTTGAATAAGAATTATTTGAATTTCAATGATGTATACGTATGAAGAATTTTATTATTATTTATTTTTTATTTTTTATTATTATTGTTTAAAATAATAATAAGAATTTAGAATTTATTTATAGATATTTTAAATAGATTTATTTTTTATTACTTATTTCACAAATAAATAATCCTGATTTTAAATTGCTCTCTTTTTTAATATATTAGAATTTTATATTTTCCTATATAAAAATATTTTTATTATTTGATATTTATTTTATCAATCCTTTAATAATAATAATATATATATTATATTAATTATATTTTAATAATATTATAATATTATATATTATAATTATATTATAATTTTATATAAAAAAATATATTAAATATTAAATATCATTGAGCTATCTTTGTAATTAAATAAGTAGTTACATACCTCGCATTCTGTAGGCCATCTAGCAGCTTCACGAGTAATTCCATCTATTATGCAATGAGTATCCAATAAGCTTCGAAGAGTCTCTTGCGACTGATTATCTCTGGTTCCAAATGGAATAGAGAACAATGATAATTCCGTTTCTCGTCGTGGTATCTCACATTGTCCTAACTGCAGCAATTGCAATTCTTGAAGTTTTTTTAAATTTGCCAGCGTACTGCCTGTATTAATAACGAATTCTATATTAATATAATGAATGTTATTTTATTTACTTGCAATAAATGCACTTTTAATTTTAAATTTTAAAAAACATTTTGATAATATAAAATTATACATAAAATTGTAAATATATGAAGTTTAAATTAAAGGATTGATATATCAAATAAATATCAAATAATAAAAATTTTTTTATATAGGAAAATATAAAATTCTAAATTTCATTTTAAATGAAAATATAATGATAAAATAAAACTTTATTTTGAGTAATATATTATTTAAATAATAATAATATATTTAAAAGAAATTATTTTAATGTTAATATGTTAATGATAATATTTTTATATAACTTTAAGTGTATTTCTTTTTATATTTTTTGATATAAAAATTTGAGATAAATTTTCTATTTTCTTATTCTTTAAATAATATTTTAGAATTTATTTGCAAATATTTCTTATTTCTGTTTGTTATATTATAACATATATTATAAAGGATTAAACTTACCAGGAATCGGTTGAATCGGGAAAAGCATAGCTTGAAGTTCCTTCACCTTACTACTAGTCGAAAGATCTTTCATTTTTCGTTATCTTTCATCTGCTTGATCATTTTTCTCTTCGTTCTTCAACTTTATTGCCTCGAAACTTTCAAATTTATTTTCGCTCAAATTGCAATCAATCATCCACAAAAGTCTTCCATCCAACAAACACTTTGCAATCGTGTTCATTTTCTTTAATTTTTATTCCTATATATTTTATAGAAATCTTTTTTTTTTTAATCATTTGTCGAATCAAATCTTTGATCATTCTTTAAAAACATCTTTCAAATTTCATTGAATGTTATAGGATTAATTAATTTCGTGTGATGTGTTCCCTGAACGAATTTAGCGCGTGAACTGCCAGCAGGAAAATACGCCTTTCAGTGAAAAGGAACGTAAAAGCTGACTTGTCGATTGCCTGACAACGGAGAAATAGGGGCGGAGCTTTCTCGTTCATCGCTCTATTCTGATGGATGATCATTTGCACGCAATAAGAAAAATAAGAAAAATAAGAAAAATAAGTTGTTGAAATAGATGAAATTGAAATTAATATTTTCATTTCTTTGAATGATATAGGATTTTGCAAATAATTATATAAATAAATAGTATTTTAAATGAATATTCTAATACCAACTTATATAAATATTATTCCAAAATGAATATTTCAGTGAAATTATTTCTTATAATAATAATATAATTATAGTTATATTTTTTATGATTCATTGAATTAGAAGATAATAATAATGAGAAAATATATTATTTCAAATAATAATAATTTAAATAAGCAGTTTTTAATTTTAACATTATTAGTTTAATATAAATATATCAAAGTCTTATTATTGTACAATATTAATATGGAGTACTTTTGAACTTTAATCTATTCTAGGTCAAAATAATAATTGATATGTATACAAAAATGTCAATTGAGATGTATTCATTTAAATTATAATTAATTTAATTTTGCATTAGATGAAGCGAGATAGAAAATAAATCTGAATCGATATTTTTGTATACCAATTCATATATTTGATATGTATAGTATATATGTATTACATATTTTATGTGTTTTAATGATTTTCAAAGTTATTCCATTAATATTATTCCATTAATTGCTTAATATTATTAATATAATATAACATAAATAATGAAATCTATTTTAAATATTTAAGAAATAAAAAATGAAAAATAGGACATAATTAACTTAAATGCTTATTGTTTTCAATTAAAAATAAATATTTTATTTAATATGTTCTATCTTATCAAATTTGAATATAAATACTAAGTGATACCTACTTGATTAAATAACTCATAACTAATTTTAAATTTTTCTCAATTTTAGTATTGGAATTTTATTTTGATTCATTATAAAAATGATGTTATCGATTTTTTTTAACAGTTATTAGTTTTCTCAATTCTTTTAAACCTCAATCTTTGCAATTGAATATCTTGTTTTACAATCATGCTATGGAGAAAATTGTAAAAAATTATATCTTGTTTTACAATCTGAATTTTTGAAATATTTCTGCAATTTATAAAGATTAATTGTGACAAGGATGATATATCAGAAAACAATATTAATTTAAAAGCATTGGCAGTGTCTTCAAATGTTTCTTTTACTTAGTCGCATGAAACAGTTAAGCAATTTACTTATACATCCCTTTCCTGACTGAAAATTATTGATCAATCAAGTTTGTCGGACTCAAGAATGGATATGCTGTTATTTCCTGGGCGAATATTCTTTCCACTAATCAATGAGCTTTCAATTGATAGACAAGGATCGATCGATTGTCCATTTATCGATATTCATTGTATCTTTCCAATTATATAAATGTTTACGTTACAATTTCCAAGTAATTTTTCGCTTTTCTATCAATAAAATTATATTGTTTTTTCTGTTTTTACAGGTAGATCACATTAATTTTCGTTTTATTTAAAATATTCGAAAAAGAAAAAGATGGGCCGAACGGTGACAGTGGCAGTTTGCACATTAAATCAATGGGCATTAGACTTTGACGGAAATTCTAGAAGAATTTTGCAAAGTATTCAAGAAGCTAAAGATGCTGGCGCTACCTACAGAAGCGGACCAGAGTTAGAAATTTGGTAAAATTTCTTCTTCTCTAAAAAAAAAAATAGAAATCATTCATTTAATGTGGAATTTATAATATATATTTTCATCCATAACATATAGAATTTTTTTCCTGTATAATATATAAATAAATTTAAAAATAGTATTCAAAGTTGTATTTATAAACTGAATGAAGAAATATGAATTATGAAAGAATGAAAACATTAGTAGCCAAGAATAATAAAAAGAGTTATAAAAGAAATATAAAAAAGAAAGATAATGAAAAAAAAAACTTAATTCTTCTATTATTATTAATGAAATATACGTTATTATAATATACTTACTAATACAATAAAATTTAGTGAAATTTATTAATGATTTATTAATTCTTTTTAAGAAATAAGAAAAATTAAAAAAATGTTCATGTATAAAATAGACAGAAGTATAAATTAAAAACATCATTTATTTATTTTTACAGTGGTTATAGCTGTGAGGATCATTTTTATGAATCAGACACGTTATTCCATAGCTGGGAAGTACTTGCAATGATTCTTAAATCGACCGTTGCTGAAGATATGCTTATCGATGTCGGTATGCCGGTCATGCATAAAAATGTGACGTATAATTGCAGAGTGGCCTTTCTGAATCGACGAATTCTGCTCATCAGACCCAAGATGCAAATGTGCGAGGACGGCAATTACAGAGAATCCAGATGGTTTTCACCGTGGACCAAGGTTATTCTTTGAAATTATACATATAAGAATTTCCCGATTTTCTAAGTCTCAATATTATGTATTGTTTGAGTCAAATAATTATTAATTATTTATATAGGAACGTATGGTGGAGGACTATTTTCTACCTAGAATGATATCTCAGATCACCAATCAAACAGTGGTGCCGTTTGGTGATGCTGTTATTTCGACTAGAGACACATGTATAGGTTTTGAAATATGCGAAGAATTATGGAATCCAATGAGCAATCATATTCCAATGTCTTTGGATGGTGTTGAAATTATTGCGAATGGTAGCTGAAAATATTATAGTACATGCACAGTACTACAGAGTTTTAGAGTTAATTTTTTTCGAAAGTATTAATTAAATTAACGACTATTATTTTTAATATTTAATAATTTATTTGAATATTATATTATACAAATTTTTATATGTGAAATCTCTCTTTGTTAATATAATTTTAATAATGCCATAGATTCATCATACATTAAAAATTAGATTGAAAATTAAAAAGAAATAATTTTAATATAAATCCAATTCTAAAACTTGTAGATGCATCATATATAATAATCTTCATTTTTAATTTTTTTTGAAAGAAGAACTTATATATTTATATTTATAATTTTGTTTTTGAAGGTAGTGGCTCATATTTTGAATTACGGAAAGCATATGTCACTGTGGACTTAGTTAAATCAGCTACATTTAAATCTGGTGGTTGTTATATGTTTAGTAATTTAAGGGGTTGTGATGGTGCTAGAGTTTATTTTAATGGAGGCTCTTGCATTGCTTTAAATGGTCAGATTTTAAATCGTGGCAAGCAGTTTGCTTTGGATGAAGTAGAAATCATTGTTGCGACTTTTGATTTGGAAGACATAAGGTCTGTAATATTTACTAAACTTTAAAGATTGTAATATTCGTTAAAATTTAATTTCAATTTAATCGAATTGTTTATTTTTTTTATAGAAGTTATAGAAACAATATTAGATCAAGGTCACATCTAGCAGCCAGATCACCAAGTTACCCACGTGTAAAAGTAGATTTTGCTTTAACTTCCGAAAATTTGATTTCCACTCCTCCTGATCGACCAATCGATATAGATCTAGGTCCTTACGAAAATGAAAATATAACGGGAAAACTTTCTTATCATACTGTTAATGAAGAAATTTCAATGGCACCTGCTTGCTGGCTTTGGGATTACTTGAGGTTTGTCTATTTATAATTATATATATAAGCTATACTTAATATAATTTAATCGTTTTGATTTTTGATCTAAATGTTTTTTATTCTTTTTTTTTTTTGAAAAGGCGTTCTTGCCAAGGTGGTTTTTTTTTGCCTTTGAGTGGTGGTGTTGATTCAGCTTCATCAGCATGTATGGTTTATTCTATGTGTGATATGATAGTGAACTCTGTTAAAAAAGGAGGTATTATAATTGTTTATACATATTATTATATGTATTATTATTTTTCTAATCGTAAAGGATATATTTAATAAATGATTGATTAGATCTACAGGTATTATCTGACATCAGGAAAATAGTTGGTGATTTTGAATATGTGCCAACTGATCCAAAACAACTATGCAATATTCTTCTAGTCACATGCTATATGGCAACTGAAAACTCATCTGCTGAAACAAAAACACGAGCTGCCGAACTTGCTAACCAAATTGGTTCTTATCATCATAGTATAATTATTGATGCTGCTGTATCTGCTATTTTGTCCATTTTCCAACAAGTCGCTAAGCTAACACCAAGATTTAAAGTGCAAGGAGGATCTCCTAGAGAAAATTTAGCTCTACAAAATATACAAGTTAGTTTCAATTTTTTATAATTTTTATGAAAAGAAAATAAATAAGTTTTAAATTATTATAATTTTTTAAGGCTCGTTTAAGAATGGTAATATCTTATTTGTTTGCCCAATTGATGCTCTGGGTTAGAGGACGACCAGGTGGTCTTCTAGTATTAGGAAGCAGTAATGTTGACGAGGCGCTTCGAGGATACTTCACTAAATATGATTGTAGTAGTGCTGATATCAATCCTATTGGTGGAATAGCAAAGAATGATTTAAAATCGTTTCTTTCTTACTTTAGGTTAATATTTTAATAATTAATATTTTTTAAAAACTTTATTTTTTAAATATATATAAACAATTATTAATTCTGTTTTAGGAAAAAACATGGAATAACGGCTTTAGATAGTATTTTGGATGCTCCTCCAACTGCAGAATTAGAGCCTCTTCAAGCAGGGCAACTTGCACAGCTTGATGAAATTGATATGGGTATGACATATCAGGAACTTGGTATTTTTGGACGTTTAAGAAAACAAGATTGTGCTGGGCCCTTCACTATGTTTTGTAGACTTGTCCATATGTGGGATAAATGTACTTCAAAAGAAGTAACTAGTCATTAGTCCTTGTCGCTACAAAATGTATCGATATTTTTAAATTTGGATTCATTTATAGGTAGCAGATAAAGTGAAACACTTTTATAGATGTTATGCAATAAATCGGCATAAAATGACTATCTTAACACCATCCTGTCATGCAGAAAGTTATAGTCCTGACGATAACAGATTTGATCATCGACCTTTTTTATACAATCATACATGGAAATGGCAATTTAATGCAATTGATGAACAGGTTAATTATGCTAGAATGTAAAAAATATATTTAAAATAAGTCAAGATGATTTTTTTAGAAAAAAAAAAATCAATTTATTATAGGTGAAACGTTTTCTCAACGAAGAGAAATCACCGAGAGGTCAAAAGGATGCGCCGAAGGTACCGATGAAGCCCAGATACATGATGCTCAGCTCCGTAATTAGTAGTGAGTAAATAAACCAAAAAAAAGTGTACATTATCGCTGACCAAGCTCGAATCGTGGAGAAGACAAAAGCATTGTGAAATCATCTCTAAGAGAATGATTTCCTTGCGTATTTATCGAGCTAAACAGCGTTGATCGACGAATAAGATCATCGATTCCGGAAAGTCGAACGGGCCGCCGACAAACGACCACCCAGTAATTTTGACCCACCGTGCGCATACTTGTTTGTTCTTCATCTCTACCGAAAAATCATCACACATCGGCATCATTCTTTGTTGCAGATAAAACACATCCTGGAGTAGTAGTTTAACCGTAGCAGTAGCTCTCTCTGTCTCTTATCATTTTGATATTGCAGCCTTGCAAATGCATCGAAACACAAGCTTGCTAACCGACTGTTCGTACAATCGACGAATTCTTCATTGCATCGACGCTGTTTCACACATTAAAGATCTTTCTACAAAGAAAATTTGGCTACACTTTATCGTGAGGAAACTCGTAACTGGAAGGATCATATAATTTACAGATTGTATTATATTAATGCAACTAAATGTGAGTAAATATATATTTATGCAAATTGTGTAATTAATTTTTATAATATCCTTCTTCGAATCATTTTATAAATAAGGTAAAACAATTAAAAATTAATTAAAAATAAATTTAGTTGCGGGAATAAACGCAATTAATGTTACTTTTATTATCTTTTCCATTTCTACACAGACAGCGTGTAACCGCATTTCATATGATAGCATCAATAAATGACAAATGGATTGAGAACCTAGATCGATATCTTGATTTAGCTAGTTTAATGTTTCTTCAACTTTTTTAAAATGCGATATACACAATATATTAAACAATCATGTGCATTTTATTTCCATGCATACTATATAACTCGTGTATTAGCGAGTCATATGTACAATTTGACACTCATTCTCAAAAATTTAAACGTACATGGCGCACTATACCAATCCTCGGTTTTTCGTGTAACAAGGAAGAAAAATAGTCGTTCTTGTAGACAATGATAACGACGATATATATTTATTTTTATTTATATATGTATGTATCTATATATGTAATACATATATATATATTATGTATATATGTATATATATATATAGATAATATATATATAAATATATATTTATATATTATTAATAATGTCAATATAATCAAAATTATTAATATATCAATAATATTATAATTAAACATTACAATATACTAGGCGGTGATAATCTTGACAAGTTAAAACGTCAAGATGAATAATTATTGGTAAATATTGGTGTAAATGGTAGCAGGTATAAATGGAAATTTCTATTAATAATGATAATAAAAATATTTAAGCTAATAGTTTGGACAATACTGGACGTAAATTAAATAATCATAATTGAAATAACATTATTAATAATAATAATTAATAATAATAATAATGATAATAATAATTAATAATAATAATAATAATACATAATAAAATAATATTCTAAATAATAAAAAGATTGCGACGAGAAATATATATTTTATTTTCGAGTATTCTCAAGGGGCACAACGCGGATAAAATATGTATACATTATCAATACGAAAAAAAGGTACTGAATAATCAAAGATTAAAACTCTATTTCATCTCGTGCAACCCAATTAATAGTTACTATATACAATCCACCACAATATATTTTCATTCAGTATACTATAAAATAAATTTAAAAAAGATTTCGAAGATAAAATATATCTTGAAAATTTTTATGAAACTATTTACACAAATTAGCTGAAGCTTAATATTATTTGAAAAATTAGAAAATAATTCTAATACGTACACTTTAAACCACTTTTCGTTGTATTTATTTCAGCTTTTATTCATTTTTAGTTATGTAAAAAACTAACGTATGATGTGCTTAAAAATTATGAAATTTTTGCAAATTCCACGTATTTTAATCTAATATTTCTTAAATCAGACTTAAATTATACTATACATCACGTATACCTCAAATATATCATCTTTTACCTATTTCAAGAAATCTAGCGATTTTTTTTTATGTATATATTTCTTATATTTCTTCTTTTATATTTCAATATTACATTAATTTCTTTAGAATCTAATTTTTGTTTTTACTATTAATTGATTTGTTTACAAATTAAGATTGCAATTTATACAAATATTATATTGATCGTGTACTTCAGTCAGCACCCGATTCATTCCTAAAAAGAAAATATATACCCGTTTCGTGGACTAAAATTCGGTTTGTTACCAGGTTGTCATTATCATTATTATCATTATGCATATAATTGAAATTTAATTTGTCAAATTATTTTACTGAAAAAGAATCATTTCTTTAACAACAAGTCGAGTCGAGAATTGATTCACATGTGTCTGCTATTGTATATTGAACCATGTGTAACCCAAATTAACATATGTCCTACCACCGCAGAATTGCACGAAATCCCATTGTGTATGTGTGTACATAACTATATGATGATAATCAAAATCTAGTCTTTCTGATATAATTTGTATCGCTTTAGAAAGTATACTATGTGCCAATAAATATATTTATATATATATATATATATGATAATAAAATAATCGGAATGGATTTTTTAAAATGATGTTTCAAATTTACATTCGAAAAATTATTTTTATACTATTGATATTGTGATATTATGCAATATTATATTAAATTTAAAATTTAATATAATATTATATTATAATATTATATTAAATTTAAAATTATTATATATTAAGTGGAAGCCTTAAATATTTGTAAATGTACTCTTTTTGCTTAATTTTTTTAATAAAAATTTTGATACTTTAAAAGTACAAATCGTATTGAAGTCAAAAACAATAAAAAAATATCAATTATTGTTTAATGTGAATTCAAAAAAATGTATATTTATGTGTGTAATCTCACTCCATTATATCGGTGCGTACCCCATGAAAGAACCAAAGTGCAAAAAGCGAAATCTTGGAGTAATGAGTAAAATCGTGTCTTATATCACAGATTTCCCAAGGTGCATTAGTCATCTACTAAAAAAAAAAATTCATTTCCGCAATATATTTCCCCGAACGCATCAGTCAAAACGAGGAACGCAACGATTAAAAATAAGAAACAATTACTTCGAGACACGATATGTTCATCAAAGAAGTATCGTTATCTCGGTGTAACAAAAATTTGAGAAATATCTGACATATCTCTGAAATATCTCTAATATCAGATATTTCTACATAATTTTTCACCTTCTAAGTCGGAAAGCAACGTAACTTGCCGTGCATCGCTAAAAAGAAAAAAAAATCGTTCGAAAAAATCAATTGGTCAATCCCATCTCGTGCAAAAAAATCTTATCAACGAGAAGAAATAATCATCATTCCTGAAACGTTCAATCCGAGTTTTCAGGTGTAATTCTTTACGACTGACTTGTGTTTTTTTCTATAATCTAAAATATATATCATAGTCTATACATATACGCGTGTACATATATATATATATAAACTTAAGATCGGTAAAATCTAAAAAAGATCGTGTATGTACTCGGTAGCGCAATACTGTGTATACAAATATGCTCTTTCGTTTTTCGTCTAGGTTTGAAAGTCACGAGTCTGTTTAAATCTTATATAGATTTTTTTAGAATTTGTTAATATAAATCTGATCGTCATTGGCCCTCGATGCTGTTATGTGTCACCGCTAAAGGGGAGCCACCTACAGGTACTTTTCGCGCGACGTTTACTTCGGGATTCGATGACATTTAGATCGAGTTCTTCTAAAATCAGAGCCGGCTCTTCTTTCCTCCATTTCGCCATTTTTCTTCTTTCTTCTTCCCAGTCAGTTTTCGTATTAGTCATCAGAAACTGGAAGCTCGACCCAGATGCAACAATGTTGAGGAGCGTTGAAGTGGCGCTTCAAGGTTTTTCGAGGCTGATTTTACGCAGCTGTCCGTATTCCGCGAGTCCCGTTGCAACAGGCCACCCTGAAGAGTTACATGACCAAGAACAATTTCGTGTTCTTGTATCTGCTATTCTTTTGTTTGAATATTCAGATTTCGTTCTCGTGTCTTCGTATTCTACATATCATTTTCTATATTTATCTATTTTATTTTTATCGCTCTTAGGAAACTATAACCTTTTTCTCTTTCGATTCATTTTCTTCGTTCATGCATTTCCCTCCCACCCTTTCCTATCAACCTAGCTTTATAATTTTTAATTTTGAACGTTTTTTTTATTTTATTTTATTTTATTTTATTTTTTTTTATTTTTTGTTTCTCCCAAGGTACAAAGAAACATGTAATTATGTTTTCTCGTTACCTTTCATTTTTTTTTTTTATTTATATGACGACATTTTAAATTGTCATACTGTACTCTAATCGGAGTCTACGTGCGCACCTGGAGCAACATGTTGGCGAAATTGCTGTTGGTGAACTTGAAATGTCGCTTATCGTAAAATTTCAACAAAGCCGGGCTGTATGGATGTTTATCTTTCAAATGTAGGTAGTGAACCTCTGGCTCCTGTGTTGTGTGACCACATTCTTCACATACATATACCTAAATAGAGCAAATAAAAACAAATTAATATAAATTATTATTATTAAATTAATAAATTTCATATATTCATATAATAAATATTATCATATAATAAAAATTTATAAGTTAAGGTTTTGATAACTATAATTGTTTTTATATTTTTATTTTTAAAATAGAGATTTGTCAATAATAAATTAATCAAAATCAAAACATTCATATAATAAACATTCATATAAAATATGTGTATGTAATGTAATATATATAATATCAAATATATTTTCATAATATAATCTATATAAAATATACTTTTTATATTCTATTAATAAATTTAAATATAAATTTTAAAATAAAATATAATTTTAAAAATAAAATAATTGAGCTAAAAATTATAGCTAGAAAAAATTTGGTTGTGTGAACAGATATATATATAAAACTNTATATATATATATATAAAACTTCATTATATTTATTAAATGTATTTAAGATAACTTTATTTAAAGTAACTGAAATGAACAAATTCAAATTCTTACCTTTGTTCGACGTTCCTTATACGCATATTGATGCTGAACACCATGAACTTTAAGACAATGACTTTCCAAGGAACATCTCTGGGTAAAGCTCTTTTCACAGAGATTGCATTTATATGGTCGAACCCCAGTGTGTGTTCTAGTATGCCTCTTCAAATCAAACGTATCATTAAAACCTTTACCACAGAATGTGCATAAATAACGTTTCACATCACTGTGGCATTTCATGTGGCGATTCAACAATCGTTGCAGACTGAAATTTTTGCTGCACACACGGCACGTGAAACGATTTGGATCGTCGTCCTGAAAAATCAATTTCAAATTTTCTTAAATCGTTAAATGTCTTTTATAACCTTGAGTTATCAAACAAATATAATTGCATAAAATATGTAACAACTGCAAAAGTGGAACACTAATCGGGAACTAGAATCTAGGTGTGTAAATCTATAGCTTATGGAATGCTAATCTAGACAAGTTAATAAAATTATACAGTGTAGGGAGGAAAAGTGTCAAAGAATGATGTTTACCTTGCCAGGCGGAGGTCGAGCTGCTCTCTCTTCCTCACGATTAGCTGCTGCCTGTCTCTGACCCTCAATCGCGAGTGGATTTTTAATTCCGTGGCCACCGTTCACGAACTCCAACTGACAGTCACCAGGTAACCCCAGCTATAAAAGAAAAAGAATGAATTCTATCGGTATATATCCTCCTCACAATTAAATCGTTGACAGTGGATGAAGCACTCAATTTGATTGGCATTGCATAATCGTATATATGCATAGATTTTAATGCAGTTCATTCGAATGGTTTCGTATGAAACTAAATTTTACTTTTATATAAACAATTATCTTTTTGTAGTTTTCAATTGTCTATATGGCAATGTTTAAGCATTTTGGAATGTTATATAGAAAAATTAGTATGCTTGCAGAAAACTTGATGACAACTTTTTAAATTTTAATTTGCACAAATGAGAAACTAAGAAAATATTATGTTACACATAAAATCTTAGTTTTTTAATGAAACTTTCTTATTTTTTAATTCTTATAGAAATATAGTGATTCTTTTATCAATGAACTCAAAAGTAGTGCTATTATTTAATTTTGAATACTAATGAAGTTTATAATCTTATAATGACTAACATGTTATTCAATTCTTATTTGTATTTTTACAATAATTTTCTATCTTCGACAATTGTTTTACATCTTAATCCGAATGTGTTAAGAGATGAAAAAAGTTGTACGAGAAAAGATAAAGGAGAAAGAAGAGGCAAGCTTTCGAATTATCGAACAAAACAGTGCCATACAGATTCAATTAGTCGCATTCAATTTGCTAAAGAAATAAAGTATGCTTTTGCCTGTATCAATTTCGGGTGCTTACCCTTTGCTGCAGTACACCGACCCGTTGCGTCAGTGGTGGTTCTCCAGTTGGACCTGTTGATTGCACAGTATTTACCGATGCCGAAGATACAGTGGCTGCTGGGCTAGGCGCATGCTCCATTAAAGCGCAAGATGGCGACGTACTAGTAGAAGCAGCGTCTAACGAACAGCTCGCTGCTCCGGGACTTGGTAAACTTCCACCCACACTACTACCTGAATCTAGTTCCAGACCTTAAAGTCAATATAATTGTTAAAACTTTAAAACTTTAAAATCACCTATATTTAAATAATTTGTTATTAATTTTGCAGTTACATTAATGTTTTCATAAATGGAAATATTTCAAAATAAATTAAGAAGTAGCATATAATTTTTTTGCCATATTGAATTTCTTAATTTCATTTCGTTCAATTTGTTTTTATCTTTTTATAATATTTTTAGCAGTGATAAGAAAAAAAAGTATATAAGTACAAGAATATGACAAAAAATGTAATAACGAGTGATACAAATGAAAAAGAATAAGCAATTAAAAATAAATAAGAATACATATAGATATTATTATGATATGATATTATTATTATCAATTTCAAAAATCATTTTAACTATATTGTGCTTGGTTTTATTTTGATTTTATTTTTATCAACAAAATCATTATATGAATATGATGAATATATTCATATAAAAAATAATCTCAAATTATATCGAGATATATAATAACTATAACCACTTATGGAGACATTATTGTTAAAATAAAGTGATTTGTACAAGTTGTTTCATGAAGAATGAAACGGAAAGAAGCGGTATAAACACTAACCACTACCGGTGAAGCTTAATCCCGGACTGAGTAATCCTTGATGTTGTTGTTGATGAGGTGAAGTGGATGTTGTTTGTTGCTGCTGTTGTTGTTGCTGCAACTGCACCTGTATCTGCAATTGTTGCAGCTGTGGTTCGGATTGGTGTTGATGATTTTGATTAATGTGAAGCGCGAGTTCGGGTCGTTCTTTTGAAACGGATTGATAACTCGATTCTCCCGTAGCATAAGTTAGTCCTAATTTCGAAGTGCTGAAATGTTGAGGAGCTGCCGTGTAGTGCCTGAACAAAGATGATTATTCATTTGTATTATTTAACAATAGTCAATGAACAACTTTCGAATTCACTCGTTTTAATTCTTCAAGATTATAATTATTTATAATAATGTTCTAAAATAATCCTTTTTTTCTGAAAAGTTTAACGATTAATTTATAATGTAACATAAAGCAATCATATTTTTTTCAGTTTAAAATTTAACTAATAGGAATATAATATGATAATAGGAACATTACGTAAATTTAAAAATTGTTAGTTTAAATCATTCATAATTAAACTTATTAATTTAAACAAAAATTATTTACTTCTTGATTTCAAATTAGTTTGATTTGTCATAATAATTTAATGTTAAAATAGATAAAAGATACATAATATAAGATACATACATTCGGATATATAAGTATCCGAAAATTAACATCCTATAAAATAAATAAAAATTAAAAATTAAAATATATATTTAATTGTATAAAATAAACTAATGATTTAAAATAAACTTATTGTTTTCAATATTGTTTTGAAAATAAGGTTTTCAAAATTTGATATTTATTTTTCTTACACAATCTTATAGTATTACCAACCGAATTTTTTCTATATTTATATTCTGAGTCGATAGTCTTTGTTATTGATTTTTGTGTTGATCTTGTAGTTACACATATATACAAAATATATATACATATTTCAAATACAAAAATATTCGTCGAGAACTAATCGATAATTGATTTAAATCGTTGTCCATTGGTTTTGCTTAATGTTTAAATATTCACGTATGTGTAATACATATATTTTTCGAATACTGATTAGATAGAAAAGAGAATCAGGCTATTGAAAAAATGGAAATTCACATTTTTCAGATAAAAATAAAAATAAAATGAATATATAGTATACTTTCATAAAAAAAATTCTTTTCTTTAAATATTTTTATCAAATAAATTTTGAGCAATCGATACGATACATACGCAAATATTTAATATAGTCACACATAATTCGTCATTTCAACAAGTAAATAAAAATAGTGAAAATTCGACCACTATTTACATTGAAATATGAAAAATAATTAAATCTATGTGTTATGAAGAATACTATGAAGAATAATTTCAATTAAATTTTATATTAAAAGTTTAAGTTTACTCACAATTGTTAATTACTTTTTTAATGAATTACAAACAAAATAAAGCAAATAGACAATTTAAACAAATCTAATAAAATTCGAAAGGTATGATTACTTTACATAGCGCGAATCATATCAGATGCGCACTTTAAAAGCAGCTCAATTTTGAGATATATTATATAGTCCATAATATTTACCTCGATGTATCGAAGCTTCTAGTCAAAGCCATGCTGTGCTCTGGGAAAGGGTCAACACTTGGTTCTACAGGAGTGGTCATTTGTCCATTATCTTGACCAATTCCACTTCCAGCTGATGCTGGTGAATGTAACGATTCTTCTAAAAGATCATTGCTACCATCTTCAGCCGGTAATCTCGGTAGGAAGAGATCAGCAGCGTCACTTAGACTTTCTAAGAGGGCGGTATGATCGGAGGGTGAACTAAACGTTAGAGTAGCAGTGAATTGAAGAGGATCCACCACTGCGCCAGTCACCATATCTACCATCATTCCCGTATCAGTCATGTCATATGCGCCATATTGACCGGATAACAGATCATTCGCTTGAATTTTGTACGGTGATAAATCTTCTTCCTCCTTCAACGTTAAACCGTACGAGGCGCAGACATTTTGCAATAGGGAGTATTGCTTGCCTTCTTGAGCATTATATTGGGAATGCTGTGAGTTCACGTCCTGCTGACCGGTGTCGCATTCCATCCCTACTGTTGGTGATGGTGTCAGGTATCCATTTCCTGAAACGATTATTTTATTTATAAAATCTAATCAGAATTATTTAATATAGAAATTATTTTATTGATTTTCGATTTATTTGAAATATATTGCCAATTATTATTCTAAATAATTTTTTACTGTTCCTTAGTTTCCAATATTATATGAAAATATTTTCATATACGATTTATACATGATTTATATGATATATTTTCAATATATTTCATATATATTACGTTATCGATTAATTGTATACGTTTTAAGCCAAGGTCAAATCAATACAATTTAATTGTTGACTAACCATTGCAAAGTTTAATCAATCTAGTTAAAAGTATTTAAAATTTAATCTAAATATAAAATAATAAGTTTAAATGATAAAATTACTAATATACGCATTCCTGGCAAATGTTTCAAAAAATATGAAGAACATGTTACTTAATTTTTTTACACTAATTTAAAAAATTAAATATGTGAAAATATTATAATTTAATTCATTTACTTTTCTTTATTTTTTTATTTAATTTTACTTAATTAGTTAAATCAACATTATATCCATGCTATTTAAATAAATATGATATACGAAATATAAAATATTTTTGCATATTTTGAAAATTAAGTAACCGTTGTTCGGAAGAATGATGTTGACAAAATATTTCAAGGATATGTCGTTGATCGAAATTAATAACACGATTCCTATTTTGAACAGTTATCTTGACTGTCTATCCTCTAAATTCCACAATAATAAAAACATTTCATTGAAAGTCGTACCTTGAGTACTGTTATACTGATTCGCAAAATTCGCCAGATTATTGCCGCCTTTAAGGGATTCGTAGAACGGCGGCAAAGAACCAGTGGGCGGTGAACTTGGCCCGTAATTTCCACGGCCACCGTTTCCTCCAGGATTCATTCCACCGCCAGCACCTCCGCCCACAGCACCACCACCTCCGCTACCGCCTGTGGCCGCTCCTCCTCCACAGTAACTGCCACTTCCGCCTGAATTCGAAGAGGAGGAACTGCCCGAGTTGTTGGAGCTGCTGCTGGACCCGGAACTGCCGTTTCCACCGGAATTAGACGATCTTCCGTGACCGGCGGCTGCGTGGACCACTTGGGGACCGGACAGTCTCATGGCCAGGAGAGGCCTGGCAATCGAGTTACCTATCGCGCGTGACACTTTTGCGCCTTCGCGGCCTCGCTCTTCGTCCTCTTCCTTTCTCTTCGGCACAGCGTAATCGATAGGTTGCTCCTGCAAAGATAACGAGTAACGTCAGCTGTCACGCATTTCTGAGGATTGCTCGGGACTGGCGGTATGGATTAACATATGTTCCTATTGGTATTCATAAAATTCTTCCTGGTATGCCGGCGAGGGGAAACGGGCGAGCGGGGCGGAAAAGTTTAGCCTTGATGAGGTGTTAACCACTACTGTTACGAAGGACAAACACCGCGAGCTATATTGATAATAATGGAGTATTTATAACGTAAGTATTTCAGTAATCACAGAAAGTATAATTTCAAAAACTTTTTTTTTTTTCTTTTATAACATTATTCATATATTCATTATTAAATAAATTCGATATTGAAGTATAGAAATTATATTTTTATTTTAGAATCGGTTTATTCAAAATTGAAATTAATTTTTTTTTTTTTTTTTTCTTGTTTAATAGGAATCGAAGAACAGAATCGATAATACATTTTTAAATTATGGTTACTCAGAAATTATTATGTTGTCCAGAATTAAATTTAGAGTAAAGATATCTGTTATCTGAGGATTTATTTTATATATATTTTTAATTGTTGATTTACAAATTTAAATCATAAATTTAATTATTCAGTAAATGTATAAAAGTGCCAATTAACGATCATTTTAAAAATCATTTTAAAATTGGAAAAATGTGAACTAAAATATAACTGTTGAGAGAGAAAGAGAGAGACAATATCAATTGCAAGAAACGTATGTAAAACGAAAAGATATAATTACTTGTTCTGGTTCTTGAGTTTGTGGCACTTCGATCTTATCTTCTCTTCTCGATGCAGATTGACTTTGGGAAGGAACCCTTTGAATGACTGAGACCCGTGTGGGTGGTTCGACTCTAGGCGTTTTTGGAGGAGTGCTTGGTCTAGGCAATACCAATTTTTCCGATTTCGTAAGGAATTGTGTAGCATCACTAGAAGAGGGCGCAATTGGGGGATTGCTGTATTCCTTGCGCTCCGCCCTGGTTAAAACATGACCTCTGCTTCCATATGGGATATCTCCACCGAGGATACTCGAGATAAATCGTCTAGGTGGCGTATTAGCCGGAGTATTTGTCGACTGCCATTGAGGGGGCGGAGACGAAGCCGGACTGCTACTGCGAAGCGATTCCGGGGTCGTCGCACGATCATCATCCGTTTTCTCGCGATCTATAAATCGTATTATTATCATTATATATTGTAAATTTTTTTATATTGAATCTCTGATATTTTTTTCTTGCAATTTTTATCTTTTCTTTTCTTATTCTTTTTTTTTTTCTTTTCTTATTCTTATTCTTTTTTTTTTTTTCTTTTCTTATTCTTATTCTTTTTTTTTTCTTATTCTTATTTATCTTTCTTTCTTATATTAATCTTCAAAAAATGAAAATTGTAATACTGACTGTTAGATCTCTTTTGACTCTCTATAAAAAAATTTCTCTATTCAAAATAAAATAACAAATGTTAAAATAATTTATCCTATAAATGAGTTATTATTCGAATAATATTGTTTGAGATAGAGTAATAAACAAATAAATTAAAAGTTTCGTTTAAGTAGTTTAGTATTTGTTACTTAAGAATTTATTTTGATAACGTTTAATATACTACTCGAGAATTTATAATTCTACTAATACATTCAAGTTTTTTTCGATGTTCAAACGAGATCGTTGTTAAATTATTTCGAAACTTTCTATGTTTTCAAATGTATAAATATTAGATTAATGAACTGCTTAAAATCAGTCGATCAGAAGATCAAATGCCCTTCACCATTCATAGAAGCAGTGATTTCTCGAGTGACTTTTAATGATAGCTTTAGATATAACATCGCTGATCGAGGACAAATTATGAGGCAGTGCGTGAAGGACGTGCGGAAAGAGAGTATAGCATACGGTACCTACGAACCCCCTCAAGGTTGCTCGTAAATTCAGCCATCCTGACTTTACGAGAATCCATATTGTAACCGTTTGCTCATTATGTATTCCAGACGCGTTGGACATTGAAATTTCGTTGACAAAACCGAACTAAATTTGCGAATTTTAATCTTTTCCTTCGTACAGATATTCCGAGAATAGTTTTACAAGAAAACCGTTGGCGAACTTTGTTCGAGAAAATGAAAATTGCACACAAAAAAATTAAAATAATCATGTGTGTAAATAAATTCGTTTAAACTAGTAAGAATTTGTTACAAAATAAAGAAGAGTATTAAAATGTTTTATTAATTGTCTTATTGTGAATATAAGAAAGTAAATTGTGTATTATAAATTGAATTATGTCGATTATGTATATTAGCTTCAAAATTTGATCAAACTTTGAATTGTAACATAATATGTAAGAATAAATAATAAAATTATAATATTCATAAATTTTTTGCAAATATTACGAAAAATATAAAAAAAATCTTTTATATCTTATATATATATAAATACAGTAAATTGATTTATTTATGTAGTTGAGAAAATTATTATTTTCTCGATATTACTTTCTCATTATTATATCTAACATAACTAACATATTACATATATTTTCTATAAAAAATTATCGGTATTTAATATTTTTAATATCTAATATTTAATATATATTATCTAATTTAACGTAATATCTAATTTATATAATCTAACCTAACTTAATCGGATATAATAATACCGTTTCCAAGTTCTTTAATTAACTCTCTATTTCATTCAATTGACGTTCTCAATATCAAATAACAATAACCTTGGAAATACAAGTTAAAAAAAGCTACATATTCGTGCAACTTTCTATCGTTCGACGATCATATTTATGACGGATAAATGCGAGCGCGAGGAGCGCCCTCCAAGGACACGATATGGAAGGCAATTACACGCAGTCACGAATCGTTTGATCGGTGGGACGCGTTTAGTAATTTCTGTTTCCATTATCGGAGGCCCGCTTGCGTCTGCGTTCTCTTGACTTTGACACCGACTCTGTTTCGCGAATGGAGCACGAGGACATCGTGTCGGCCGGCGAAGCCATTCGAGCGTAAACCAGGAAACCGACCGCGAGGACACGCCGCTTTTTGCGAGCACGTGCGCGCCGAGTATGGGACCAGTCACGAGGAAAGCCATTTCCGCTCCTCGCTTTTAATCATTCTTTCAACGACCGATTGTAATATCTAATGATTTCTATTGACTTATGATCGGTCAATTATGAATTAATTATATAATTACTAAAATATTTACAAAAATATTCAAACACTGATATAATTTTGATTTCTGATATTCTATATTTAGAATAAACATATATAAAGCAGTAGCAATGTTTTGCAATATTTTAATGTAAATATTCAAAGAAGAGTAAGAAAGAAGTTATAAAGATGAAATGTTGCAGAGATATTCGAATGACAAAAAATTTCTATATAAAAGTTTATTTGATATCCTTTTTTAATGAACGATAACGTTTTAAACAATTTGATTCGTAGAAAATAATTTTTTATTAATGAATGAAGTTTCTATTCCATGATATTCCTATTTTATTTCTTTCAAATCTGAAATAAATATGTACAATAAATTTTCTAAGAGAAGGTATATGATACTTGTCATATTAATATTTTCAATGACCTTCATTCTCGCTACCGCGCCATTCGCGAAAGCCTCGTCCCTCAGGCGAAACATGTCTCCACGATCAGTGAGATTTCACAGTAATATCAAAGACCGTGGGCCAACCGTTTAGAGACCGCTTCTAACGACGCGGTTTTTACGCAATACGTTGCGTCACACTTTCAACCCGAAGGTAACAACAAATCCCGCGCTCAAGAGTAACCAAAATGGCGGTTCCGTCCGTCCACGGTTGAGCAACCTTCGGGTAGAAAAGAATCGACCGGTGTACGTGAGATTCTCCGACCAAATCCCTCGAACAGGTCCGGGGCCGTGCTATAAATACCTGCGCAAGCTTCGTGACCGGTGTACCGATCTTTTTCTTCGTCTCGCTTCTTCGAGTCGCTTCTTCTCTCCCCGGAGGAAGTCCCTATCTCTTTTTCTCTTTCCATCCATTGCTCGCCTTCTTTTCATTTGTCTGGACAGAGAGAGGAAGAAAGGGAGACTATAAGAGAAGGAAAAAAAGAAACAAGAACCGGTACTTCGAGTCTACTTCGGCAGGAATGAGCTCTCTGCCGAGAGAGAGACTAGCGATGGCCATTCGACTTTACGTGTTGCGAGTTTTCGAGCAATTTAGCTGTACAGAGGATCCAGTCGCTTCGAATCCTTATCGCGAATCGAGGCTTCATGGGGGAGAGGGGGAAGGAGGGGAAGGAGGAGGAGACCGGTTACGAAGTCTTGAACGACTGGACGGACTCTCGGTGAACGAGAAAGATCTGATAGCTGTTCGAGCCTTGACCGTACGCAACACCCTCGTAACGTTTCTTCTTCTATATTAAATTAACACGATGTAAAACGTTCTATCATAAAATATGTAATATTCAATTTTTGAACAATCGAAACTTATATCGATTTGAAGTGAAAAAAATCTGATAAAAAAATCTACTTTGACTCTACACAATGCTCTCGTAAGTTTCTTTTACATTAAATTAATTATTAAATTAATAAAAACATTAACAAAAATTGAAATCATCACATGAAGATCGGATGACATTGAGATGTGCGAGTCACTGCTGCGCAATGTACTATGTGCGATGATTTATTCTCATTGTCAATCTTGATTTCGTTCCATCTTACACGAATATCCCTAATCGCAGAACCGAAAGGTACAACGAAGATACTACGATAATAACGTTTCAGCGAGCGTACTGCGTAGACAGTTCCATTTTAAATGAGGACCCTGCGAACTCGATCGCTATAAAGATATGGTCCAAGGCAAGCGAGAACGTTCGACTGCCCCACGAGGCTTAATGTTAAAAAGTAACGGGTTGAAGAATCTACGATGACGAATGAGATGACGTCGTATATATTTTTTCTCGGGTCAATTCTGTTACTAGTAATCGATACTAATACTATTGATTATTGATTTAAATTTAAAATCCCGTTTTAAATTAAATTTTTAAATTACATTATTTTTAAAAATACTTCTAAAGTTACGATAACTTCCACTTTGAAGGAAAATATTCGATTTTTGATCTTCGAATGCTTACATTTTTTATTTTTATGTTTAAAATTTTAAATGTAACATTTTGATTGCAAATTATATATGTTTTTCAAGCATAGTTTATTATTAATAATCCATAAAGGTACATTAAAATAAAATCTTTTGAATATAAATTTTTGTTCAAAAGTCTTATAATATTTTCCATTCCCATTCTTTCTTAAATTAATAATAGGAAAAAAGTTGATTGCACAAACATTTACGATTTTATTTGTAAGTAGTAAGTTTTCGATATTTTAACAAATATGCATACTTATGAATTGATTAAATCTATTAGAAATCAATCAATTAATTTGCATTTTTTTATCTGATCAATTTACCAATTCTACGTACATTTAAAATATCTATAGAATGAATATGAACGAATAATATGAACTTTGTTCTTACAACAATATAAAAATTCATTCATACTTATTAAAAAAAAAAAAAGAACAAATCAATTCAAAATGAAATAATGATTTTTCACAGAAACCTCATAAGATAATAATAAATAAAAATTATAAACCTTATATAAGTTTCTCAATTTGTTTCTCAAAATTGTTTTCGAAATATTTTTCACAAATAAATATCGCGTTAAGAGTCATAGTTAATCTCAGATAGTCATTCTCTATATTTTAAATAATTAACGATCACTCTCAACGCAGTGTCAATTTACAAAAAAATACTCTTACGAGCAATTAGAGGAAGTTCTAATCTGAATTAAAATTCGTATCCCAACATGAATAAACATTCGATCAAAAGGATGGAACCAGATTTGAAAATGTATTCCGGCGGGAGAAGCGACTCGTCAGCCATTGGCCTCACGTCGGCTTCGTGGCTGGTTGTCCGCTCAATCGAACGAAACGCCTCGACTTAGCCGACCTACTTACGTCCGACCACTCCTTGGATCCTTTTTTTTCTCCAGTTTTTCCTTTCCTTTCCTTTTGGCTACTCGCAGAGCTACGAACCTTCACCGCTTGCACGCTATCCGTTTATCGTTTATTGCGTTCACACGGACATTATAACGCGGCCAAACAATACGGTGAATTTGTCTTTCACCGGCCGATTTATTCGTTTCTCAT